AGTCTTTCCCATGTAAGCGAGAGACACAACTTTGGGTTTGTAAGGTTGGATCGCCTGATATTCTTTGCAGGTTGCAGAGATTCTTTTCCGAGCCAGTTTAGAAGCAGGTCCAGTTCCTCAGTGTCACTGAGCTGTAGTTCGTTTGTCACCTCTATGAAAGAGACTTTCCACACAGAATATGACTCCGGAGAATCATCAGACTTGGTCAGCAATAGTCCAACATCCAAGAAATATCATTTGGGGGCATATATGGAAGAGCATGAGAGTTAAGATAAGTACTGGTTCTTTAATAGATAAAAGTATCTGGATCTTGTACCCCCTGGTGACGGGGCTGAGGCAATGGTGGTTCGTAGCTTCCGTCGTTCTTATCCTTATGTGCATTTAACTGAGCAACATAGATTTCGGTTCTTTCCTTAGGGTCCTCAACAGGAACTCCAACTGACTTCACAGCAGAGCCATCCTCTTCTTCAAGTACCTTTACTTCAGCTTTCAATACAGCGTAAAGTCTCCGATGTTCCACTATGGTTCTTTCTGCTTTGATTGAGGCTTGTTTCTTGAGAAGTTCAGTTTCTTCAGTCACATATTCCAAGAGCCACCTTTGCAGCTTCCGATTTCGCACGCTTCTCTGCTATCTTTACAGACATTCTCTCACTTGCAGCTTTACTGCTTCTGCTGTGTTTTGAAGACATAGAATGTTCTTCTACCGCATGCACAAAGAATTGTCAGTTTTAGCATTGATCTTATCGAACACCCTTTGCACATGCTCTCTGTTTTTAATGTTCAGTTCTAATTCTTCATCAGATTCTACTGTTCCTGTTCTTGACAGAAATACCACATAATCTGATGCCACTTGATTATACTGATGATAGCATGTGTTCAAACTTTCTCTACTTTTCCCCAATTGTTTCAGATCTTTAGGACATATTTCAACGTCATCCTTTACCTGGACTAGCTCATTCGCAAGTCTCTGAAGTTTAACACAATATTCTTTTTTTTGTGAACTAAACAGTTATTTTCCCTTAGGAGTTAAAGTTCTCTTTCTTTTAGATTCATCTTCTTCATCTTGTGGAGATCCCACATAATCTTCTTGGTCTTTAGTAGCCATTCTATTTCTCTACAGTGAAGCACCAGTCCTTTTTACTGTACTGTGACCAGTTGTTCCATAAACAAAAAAAAACACAGCCAGCTATAACCCACATCACTTTTATTCTGTTGGTGGCATGATAATCATGATTTAGTGGTGATGGTAGAGTGGTAAAAAGGCTGAAAAATACAAATAAAGCCCAATTAAGTCTATTATTATAAATTGAAAGTTCCATATCTTTATAATTATTATTTTGGAACAAAGCCATCTTAAGCAAGTGTTCTTTGATATTTTACGACACTTCACTCACTTAAACTTCGATAAGGCAAAAACGAAACTTTGAGAAAACTAAACAAATTTGGCGTTAACAGTATTTTCCATGCTAACAAATATGATCAGGGAACACAAATGAGTGTATTTACACTGTGGGGACTGTATAAAACGTGTTGAATTCTGTCATAGCTAACGAAATAGCAGTCAAACACAACGTGCTTTCAGCGTGAAAACGCAAATCGTATCTATCTCTAAGGGTGAGCTTCCAAAGGGAAGTAACTAGTGACTGCCCAATACTGAGGCGTCGTACAATACCCATGAGTAACAGAACAAGACTATTTATCCAAATCATGAGTAAACCAGCCGCGACTCCACCTACTACAAGCGCTGTTTTATAATCGATATATTGTTGATTTTGAATGGCAATATGAGGTGGAACTTTGGTTGTGCGTCAGTAGATGGCTATTTTGGTGACTGTGACTTGACTATTCCCGTTTCGCCTATGCTTGTTTGCTGGGTGTTAATATCTGAATTTATACCTGTTTTTTGTTGATCGGAAACAACCACAAATTTATTATTAAGTCCGGGGGCATAAAGAGATACACCAAATCCTGTTGTGGTACACCATATGGCAAAGTTTAACTGATTCTGCCAAAATTGCATTTGATTGTGGAACCAATCATGCCCCATTTTATCGCTTGTTGCCGTGACCCTGCATTTTTCAAAGATATCAGGGAATTTAACAAAAAACCTAGCACCAGAGGCTTTTACTAAAATTGACTGATTCGTAATGTAAGTTGATTTCATATTTAAGTTATGATATAGTATCTTTGTATATTTGATATGTATGTATCAGCGATGTAATGTATTACCCGCGGTGGACCAATATAAATGCTGCGAGAATGAATAAGGAGGTATTTATAATTGAAACCAATAGTGGAATCAAATCCATTTTTTATACCGGATAGGTATTACAGTGAATGCTCACTCAATAATGAAAGTTTCAAGCCTTTGGGAGCTAATCTCACACAAAATTAGTCAAATGGGATGCTGATTTTAAACACTGGAGAAAAGGATGTAATTCTTATCCCGAACATAGCAGCTACACTTGGATTTAGAAGAGGAAAAGTATCACCCAACGAAAAATTGCATAGAGTTAAATTACCCGATTTAGTTCCCTATAAAGAGTTGTGCATCCATCTTGATCAGATCAGTACAACGGATAATATTCATTTGATAACTCAAAAGTCCTTCAACTCCGCTAAGAGCTATTCCAGTCAAAGATGAAAAATACAATAGCAGTAGAACAGAATCTTTCTCATTACAATATAAAAAGTTAAACCGGGGTATTATTACAGACCTAAAAATTTCTGTATTATATGTAAAACACCAACCTGTACAGATAGGATGCTTGAGTGTAACGCTTCATATTATAAATAATGGTTGATTCATCAGGCCCTGGAACGCATAACCTTAGACAATGTAATACAATTGCGCTTTCCGATCTTGTAGACACACAAACACTTCATACAATCTTACTCGCAATGATGATAATAAATGGACTATGGTCGAAGCAAAAATCAAGTGGCTACTGAATATCGTCATTGCCCCACCATATGCGATGACGTGTAAGGGACATCATTTAACTAAGATAATAAATAGTAGGATCGTACTCAGGGCTTATATCCCCTCAAAACGAAAAAGGTGTGTTAGTCGCTGCCCTGCCAGAAAACCCAGGTCATATGTTATTGAGTTGTCCATCATTAAAAAATGTCAGTTTAAATTTGGTTACTGAATTCAATGATATAAAAAATAACTTGAATGCTATACCTGATCTTTCTACACTCATTATTAAAGTCTTGTTTGAAGATGCACCAGAAGATGCCTTTGAAATATTACCATGTCCATCAATTAAATGGCTTAAGAAACACGAGCGTCAACGTTGCAGTATTATCTATATGGGAATATCACCTGTTGCAATCCTTGAGGGAGTCCAAGTTAATAAAGGTGAAAGCATTTCTCTTACTAAGATATTTATGCCGTATAATATACATTTAATAAGGTTGATGTATACTCTCAAAACATTGAAGCAAGACCAATTAAAGACTATTATATGATATATTAATATACATTATGGGTTTATATCCAGTGCTCGATGAAGCATCTGAAAAGATGGACACCGTTGATGGATTTCGATTACATCAAATAAACCGAAACATCGAATAGAGAAGGAGAGGGAGTTGAGACTTGGATTGTATTAAAAAGTATCGCAAAGCTGTGAATGCTCTCGACGGAGTTGACACTATGCTTGTAACAGCTGGCATGGGACTTGGTGGAGTCGATGTTGGTTTATTATCAACTATAATCGCTGCACCTATCGTACTTGGCATTGAAATAGCGGCCCGAGTCTCAGGACTGGCAGGAATAGCGATAAAATTTATTTCTTGTAAGTTGGAAAAGAAACCATCAAAACATGACAAAATTCGGATACTCGCTGAAGCAAGTGTTGTCAGAACTAACCAAATCACTGCAATGAAGCAGGAGATTCGATCCAATTCTCGTAAGAGCAGTGATATTAGTGTAGACAAGAAAAAAAGTTCATAGAACAGGGGAGACAACAAGCGCAACAATTATTCCGGGCCAAAAACGAAGAACTGGTTGGAGATCAAAAATAGATTGTTTCCTATTGTTGGATCACATTTAAACGAATGCTTACATAAGAATATAATAATGTCAACAAAGGAAGAACTCAAAAACACATTAATGCTCCGGGACAAACCAATCAAATGGAGAGAATTACCACAGGGTATATATTATATCAGTGATGTCAAACCAACCAATACGGTCATCAATTGTTTCTTTCCAATTTCGAAAAAGAGCATATAGTCTGGACTCCTAGTAAAATGAACGAAGAACTTAGTAAAAATGTTGAATATCACTTTGTTCTAAAAAATGGTATGTCTATGAGTAAAAATAATAGAGAATATTTTCATTACAATTTAGTTTAGTCTCATGATGATCGTTGAATGGCATAATCGTTTTTGCAAAAAAAAATCCCTCTGTATTATAGGTATATAAATCTGGCTCCAGTGGAAGTGGTCCAGAACCATCATTACCTTTACTACTGCAGTATTCAATATGAGGAAGTTCGTTGTAAAACATTGAAATAAAATAATAGACATTACCTTGAAGCTACAGCTTTACAAAGCCGCACTCTGTAGTATATGCAGGACAATAGAACTGTACACTATTTTAGTGTCAATGGATACAGTTATGATAAGCAATTCGATTATGTGGGTATCACGATCCGATGAACATGGAACTGAAATCACCTAACAGGAACTAATTTCAATAAGACACATATAGAAAATGTTTGAGCCTATCGATGTATTTCAATGCGTAAAAAGTTAGTGAGTGAAATGCTTCTAAGTTTATTATTATTTCGGTTACTATCATATGATCGTGAGTGAGATAAAATTTTACATTTCATCAGCAATATTGGAGCCATATCTCGATCACAGATTCATCCTGTTTCACCTCTTGATGAACATAATATATGAGGAAGGAAACTACATCTGTGTACGACTTGGAAACACATGTGTAGCTAATATTCTCTATATTTCAAATGTTTTATGATCAACAGGTTTTGGCAATGGTTTAGCATTCAACGCCTGCTATGTGGTCCCAGGATACTATTTCATAAAACGACGAGGATTGGCTTATGGTGTTACTGTGTCTGGAATTGCGGTCGGCATGTTTATCACAGGACCTCTGTGTCAGCTCCTCATGGACACATACAACCTACATGGTTGTCTGCTGGTTATGGGTGCTCTGTTATCAAACATATGTGTTGCTGCAAGTCTTCTGAAGCCAATGTCGGCGATGGACAACAATAGTCAAAATGAAAATGTTGAATTTGAATCATTTACATGCACGGAGGGATGTGCCACCATCAACGATCCAATGTGCGGGGGTGTTCATGAGAATACATCCAATATAAAGACGGTCCAACCCAATGAATATACAGTGAAGAGAATGCTCATACCACCAGCGGGCTCATCTTTTGGCCACGATCATTGTGTTATAAGAGATCATAATTCTCCTGACATTGGGTGTGTACTCAATGACACAATCCACGATGAAACAGAATTACAGGTCAGACATGGATCCCATAAACATGGTGATGTGAAGATGGACGCACTGATCCCATTATGTCGAACAGAAGAACACCAGTCAAGCACTGACACCGTTGTGAGTAAATACAGCAGGCTCTCAAGATGCTTTGGGCGGATGAAGATAAGAAATATTCCAAACAAGTACGGTTTAATTTGTTTCTGCTTCAGCTATTTTTTCTGGTTCTTAGGGGAAGGCACCGGTTTGTTTCATTTACCTAATTATGCCAAGTACAAAGGAAGTACTCAAAACGAGGCTAGTAGTCTCTTTACAGCGATGGGGTTCACGAGTGTAGCGTCAAGACTCCTTGTGGGGTTTGCTGCCAGTGATCTTTCAGTTGGATATCTGACTCTTCACATGGGGCTTCTTGGAATAGCAGGGCTCCTTGCATTGTTTTTCCCTCTGTTTTCAAACTCATATGCTCTGCAGATGGTGTTTAGTGGGGCATATGGTATGTATACTGGAGGTCTTAACTCCCTTGTGAGCCCCTTAACCATACAGCTAGTTGGACTGGAACACTTGGCTGTTGCCTTCGGTATCGAGAACTTCTGCTGTGGTGTGGCGTTATTCATAGGCCCTCCTCTTGCAAGTAAGTGAGCCACTGAGCGAGCGAGCGAGTGAGCGAGTTGGATTTTACGCCCCCTTTAGCAATCTTCAAGCAGCAATATTACCACGGGGGACACCAGACATGGGGTTCATGTATTGTACCCATGTGGGGATCGATCCCGGGTCTTCGGCATGACGGGCGAATGCTATAACCATCAGGACACCGCACCGCCCCTCAAATATATCAGCATATCTCAGTAGATTATATGTCATGGTGCTTTTTGAAAAAAACCTGAAACGTCTTTAACCCCTGGCTGACATTTTTTGATAAATCAGCCAATAGGATCTTGTGTACTGGCCCCAAACGCATGCATCGTAGATATCCACACTGAGCAGATATTGTGTGTTCGAATCCCAACTTCACCAAGATTAAAGTTCTGGGTTTGTCAGCTCCATATTACTTACCATGTAAGGCAGCCGTCACTCTGGGGTTTTCTCCCACACGCTGTGATATAACTGAAATAATGTTGAAAGTTTGCATAACACAAAGTCATTTGCTCGCTCATTCAACAAATATCCATTTGATACCCATTACTGCCAAATAATGTACATTGGAATTTGTATTGCTATAACCTATAACATTGCATTTCAGGTTTCATCTTTTCACAAACAGGGAGATATGAACTGACATATGTGTTTTCAGGTACTGTACACTAGTTTTACTATGACTCGACCTCAACAGATTCTCAGTACACTATGAAGCATTCCCTTGTAATCCTGGAAGGGGCGGTGGGATAGCCTAATGGATAAAGTGTTTGCTCGTCATGCCAAAGGCCTGAGTTCGAGTCCCCACATGGGTACAGTGCGTGAAGACCATTTCTGGCGTCCCCCGCCATGATATTGCTGGAATATTGCTGAAACCCAAACTCACTCACTCACTTGCAACCCAGGAAGGAGCTGATGTGTTTGCTCCCATTTGAGCTCTGCTGCCGCGGCATTTGGTTTTACTCAACCCCAGGTTTATGACAGATGTTAGAGACTTCATACCGTATGCAACCTCCTACATACCCCAGGGGAAAGTTTCGGACGTATGGTTGGATGACCTTGAAGGTCAAGGTGACTCAGTACAAACTAGGCGTAAAACCAGCTTGTGTACATGATGGTTTGAGTATTAATAAATTGGATTCAATGAAATTCGACCTTCATATAAGGTCCAGGTCACTAAAGGTCAAAGTAAGAAACATGATTTACATTTCATGAAATTTCAGATACATTTATGAAATATCAATGGTTTATGCAATTAGGTAAGATTAAAGTAACTCAACACCTATCATATGTCATGCTTGTATTAAATGTCAAGGCCGCATTTCAGGTTTTTACTCATGAAATCACTTGTAAATAGTATTGTTGGTATGTGTGGAGACTTCTTTTTTATAACACAACTATAGTTCGCAATAAGTAATGTTCTCGCATGTAGTTGGATGCCATTCAAGGGCATGGTCGCTCGGTGGTACGTCCCAAAATACTTGTGTAAAAAACAATAACTTATCATTGGAATTTGAGGAAACTCCATATACATTATCGCATGGCTGATGTTGAAGGTAATAACTGTGGTATTAGCTAAACCCTAAATGGGCCCCATCCTTAAATGGGCCTCTGCCAAAGATAGGATAGGGGAGATAACTCTCACGAGCATGCTGCTACTTACAGTGATTAAACACAGTTAAAGAACGAAGACATCTTTGTCATATCGCCACAATAACCCGGAAGTAGCTGGAGGTATGACAGCTCTTTCTGTTTTAAAGTTGTACTGTAATGGGCATATATTTTTCTCAAACCGTAAGTCATGTTATCAAACAGAAAGTGCTACGGTCTTTGTTATTAAGGACTGCATTTGGCATGTGTGAGATCAAATGTCGCCCAAAATGGTTCATGTCAAAGTCAAAATGGTTCATGACACTTGTTTCTTGTGATACGTTGTGGGGGCATTCGGTAGACAGTGAGGTGGGGAGGCTACTGTTTGTGCTTGTAACAACTTTCTTGTTCTACAAATATAGTTGATGCTTGTATGTCCACTTTCTGTTGACCCTTTTATAACTTGAAGGCCTACTACTTTTAAATAAATTGCACAAGAAAAACTTCTTTCTACACTTACGATCTCCCTAGGCAAAAACGTCGACACTGTTTCTGTACATTTCAGGAACTAGTCTCTTGACGGCCGCAATATGTGGAGGTCTCGTTGGAATGTGTACAAACAAAACATGTACCAGATCGCAGCAATCAACCGGTCCTATACATCTACAACCTGTTACTCCTCCACAAGAACAACACCTGACTGATGTTTAGCACCGTGGACTGAAACTTCACACAAAAATATACTTATTCAATTGTTTTGATTTTTCGTTCTTTAATACTGATAGGCATGCAATGTTGCTTTTTTAATCTCACTCACTGATATTTCACGTATCTAGAATATATTCTATTCTCGATTTGAGTTAGACTTTACATAAATTAAAATTAAGTTCGACTGGAAACTGAAGTATATATATAATGTAGGTTGTGGAAACTGAAGGAAAATGGTTAATACCTTAAATATTTACTCTGAAAGGGGTGAATTAAAGGAAACGACCATGCATATTCTGGATGGGATGGGATGGGAGATCTGTTGTTGAGACCGAATGTTGCTTCGGTCAGCGCTTCAAAAACGGTTCATTTATATTCTCTGAAAAGATGAGTCAAATATATGCTGTACTCTAAATCGTGTAAGCTATTCATTCAAGACCTGGTCAGCGTGTACCTGGACTCCTTATTACATTAAGTTCCTGTAGATTCAGTGTATATCTTGTAAAGAGAATAGTTATTTCCTTTTGTTTATTATGAGTTCTGAATTCAAATATTTCAGTTATATTTCAGCAAAGTCTGAATCAAGAAGTGCGATATGGCATAACGCTGTATTGTAAGGTCCCCGCTGCCTGTACGGTGATAGAAGCTTTGCAGTCACATTACCATCTCATCCTACCGGGTACCCATACACTAAGGAGGCATCAGGTGCCACAAGTGTTTCAGCCCAAGAAACTCTCAGGAGTGAAGCTCCCGAACACTGTCACATCCAACCACTCTACACTTAACTTCGACTGATTTAAGACAGGACCACGTATCACCACATTTCAATGTTTGCGATTCTGTATGAGCATTAAAGTACATACAATCGTCATACTACAGACTCTAAACTGAATGTATGCAATGAGCTCGATATGTTGCCATGGTAATTAGTTGTTTGAACATGCATCGAACAATGTATATACCTAGGAAAAGGTTGCTATATGTTGTTTTTTTGTTATGAGAAGGAAGCTGATTATCTGAAGATATGTTTTGTAACTGCCATGTTAAAAGGTTTTTGAGTGCATTTCAATTTTTTCCTCTTGTTCTTTGTCTCATATGACATGTAGTTGTACTTGTGACTATTGGTCGCAGCATGGTCCTGCCCATGACAATATAGATCGTACAGTTGCATCCATCGTGATGATGATGACACGCTCATCCTTTACAAACTGAACAATAATATGCTGTGCAATCAACCTGTCCATTGGTTTAACTGCGTACACAAACCTTTATAACAAACTTTTTCTCATGAATCCATTTGCATTGATCCTGTGAATGGTGGTGATCGAACGTGTAAACATCAATTTTCCGTAAATATATATTAACAGTCGAGTGTGTGTGCTTATCTTGTGTATCCTTTATTAGGAATACAGAAAATATCATGCAACCCTTATGATGTGAGAGGTGACTGAAAAGTTCTGAGCCTAGCTATGATGGACAGTTAATATAGTTTCATACGCACATTAATTTTCACAATCCCCTCCGAGGTCAACACACTTCTGCCAACAATGATTGAGTGCCCGGATCCTACTGGTGTAGAATGCTTCCCCCTGGTGGTGTAAAAAGTCTTCCAAAGGTGAAATGACGTCACCATGCCAGCTGATTGAACTTTGTTTTCTTCGTAAGAGACGTTAGATGTTTCCACTATTTTAAATGTTGAATCTCTGGCTGATATTGGTGAACCCACGCATGGTAACAATTTTCTCAACAATAGCAACTTGGTCTGCTTCGAAACGACGAAATGATGAACCTGCAGCGTTTCGGAGTCAGAAGCCTTAGAACCCAGCATGCTGAAACCTTTGTCATGCCCAGTTCATACTTCCGAACGTTCTCAACTCTCCTGTGAGAAATGTCTTTGCTGGCTGTGTGTCTGGTAGTGAGTTGTCAATCACTCGTGATCGTTTCATGCATCTTATCACCATTTTACTTGGTGGAAGCTGCCCACGTCTCATTCCTTAAAGTTGATCACTGATTGGGTGGTCAGGCTGGCTGGTTTGGTTGATGCATGTCATCGTATCACAATTTCGTGGATCGATGCTCATGATGCCAATCTGTGGATTGTCTGGTCCAGACTCGATTATTTACAGCCCGCCGCCATAAAGCTGGAATATTGTTGAGTGCGGCGTTACACAAAAAATACAACAACAAAAAATATATCAGCCTGGATGGCTGTTTGGAGTACTTGATGGTACTTGATAGGCACTTTTGTCTTTTTTCATCAACACAGAATACCTAGACTTTTGATGCTGGCATATATATTCTACCTGGTTATGTATTTGGTTCAATGCCTGTAAGCATGGAAATTATTGTACTTAATACATGCATATGATTAAGGGTATATTATATATCCTTCGTAGTTCAGCTCAGAATTGTTCAACTACCTCTCGTATAGTGCCATATGATTTGCATGTTGGTTTACATCAGCACTCATACTTCGGGTAGTGATCATAATACAATAGTTTTAGCAAGTGGCCACCATACGCTTGCATCCGAATTTCAACAAACTAATAAAGGTAATTGTAATGCAATAGCAGCCGCCAGTGGTGCGGTATAACTCAAAATGTCAAACAAACAACCAACCTCAAAGTCTATAGTAAACGGTGCTATGACGAAGCGTTCAAGTACAGGGACTTTGCCTTTGAACCGCCAGTACCTTCAACCTAACTACCTCGGCAGCATGTTTATATTGGAATCCAGATCAGATTACAATGTGGTATTTTGCCGCCTGGGAACAGCAATCAATTCAATTCAGAAAGACAGACGTCCAATATGTTCATCCCCCATAACATGCCCATCAAAAAAATACTTTTTTGGAGACTACACACATGAGCAGTCATCTAAACGTTTGCATCAGAAGCCTGTTTTTGATATATTTCTGTAATTTATGTTTCACCCTTCGCATAATCCCTTTGTCAGCACATTTCTTTCCATATGTACTTGAATTCAAAAGCATCAAGCTGACACATTGTGATATAACTGAATATTGTTCAAGGAGACCGTCACTCTTGCTTACTTCAATGTTGACAATGAAAACTCAATAAATCCTTTGTCACCTATTGAGTTGCTAAACAAGGATCTGTAGCCGTGTTGAAGAGCGTATTATATGAAGAGGGATGACTCATTTCATGCATACATTGTTCGATACATTGTGTTTCAGGTACTGGAATTTGTCCAGTATGTCTCTTTGAGTCTGTCAAGATAATTTATGTTAACTGTACATAGCAACATAGACTTATCAACGAGGAGGTCTTCCTCAAATGGTGAACGGTCTTCGTTAACCAATGAATAATCTCTGTGTTTTTGTCGTAAATATATATAATTATTCGCAATCATTATCTGGTATCTGAGCTGGTTGCCAGCTCCAATGTTTCCTACACAGCCGCTGTTATCAACATCTCTAGTTCCTTTGACGAGGTAGTCAAGAGAAGATGTTGGTGCGTGTTCTTGTCGGTGCAGCTGTCGGCGTAACAATACTGCAGAAAGTGATCGGTGAGTATTTCACTCTGGAGCTGCCGAAAAAAGTTTTTCTTAATCTAATGATAGTAGCTGGGAGTGGAACTCAAATCATCCTAATCTGAGTGAGTGCTTGAGTGAGTGAGTTTTTATACCACTTCTAGAAAGTTTCTAGCAATATCATTGGGAATCACACATAGTATCCATGTTGGTTTAAGGTGAGGTTCTAACAATAAGATCAAGAAGTATTTATTGGGGCAACACTGCATTTGTTGTGGTATAACCGACACATTTTCTAATCAGGAACTATTATCGAAACATACTTGTAGTTTCTAGACAGTTATGATAAAAGAAATATATTTTGGGTGGAGGGGTAGCCTAGTAGTTACAGCGTTTGCTCGTCACGCTGAAGCACCAGGTTCGATTCTCAACATGTGAACAATGAGTGAAGCCCATTAACTTCCGCTGGCTTCAAACTATAATGCCTCACTCACTCACAAACAGCTGCAGATGTCTCGTCACTAGTCACTGTTTACTTCCCGATCACCTTTGATTGGTGGATATATGTGGTCCAGTCATATGTCAACGGGTACAATAGCGTCCCTTCATAAATGGTATCTGTTTGTAGTCAGCGGGAATCCCAAAATTGCATCAATGTCCCCGTAAAAATTCGGGTTTTAAATTGATTCCCAGTAGCCCATGCTGGTCATCAGAGGCGATTTAAACTCAGGGACTTGGTTGACTGTTTAGTTGATTGTTTGTTCGCCTCTTGCGACAAGCAAGACCCGTGAAGATCCGGAGTAGAATAGGTCTTCAACAACCCATGCTTGCCGTAAAAGGCGACTTTGCTTGTTGTGAGGGTTGACTAACAGGATCGGTTGGTCAGGCTCACTGACTTTGTTGATGAATGTCATCGATCCCAGTTGCGTGGATCGATGCTTATGATGTCAATCAGTGGATTGTCTGGTCCAGAATCGATTATTTACAGACCGCTGTAATATTGGTGGAATATTGGTGAGTGCGGCGTTAAACAACAAACAAACAAACGACAAGTAAAGTCGCCTCTTATGGCAAACATAGATTGCTGAAGACCTATTCTAACCCGGATATTCACGGGTCATTTGGTTGATTGAGTATCACGTTATTCCAATCACTGGATTGAATTATTTACAGACCGCCATCAATTATTTGAATATTTGTGAGTGTGGCGTAAAACACCCTACCAAGAATTTGGTATTCAATCTGTCAAAGGGCAAGGAAGGCATGACCCGCTACATTCCTCTGCGTAGAGCAATCTTATTCTTGAGGCTTCAAATCCAGATTCGCATCCTCATTATGTTTCAGCATCCCACCCATCCTCGTGGGTCCCCCGAAAATGGTAAAGGTCCAAAACAAATTTCCTCCCACACCAAGCTGACATGCCCTGATGTAACTGATACACACATCAGAGCAGGGTTATACCAAAACCACGTACTTACTCAGTCTGTCAACATGGTCTTACAATTGCCCATGTTACATCAAAGTGGTCAACATCTTGGATCTGTCTCATGTTATGCTTTACTCAAAAACAACAGCTATTAAATAACTGAAATACTGAGTGTTTAAACAGCGTACAAGCATCTCACTAACCATTTGATAACTGATGCCAGCGGTCACGTGAATACATCATCTGTTGGTGTGTTTATCCTCAGTTCAGCGGATGAGCAACTTCGTGGTCTGATCATGATACATTGTGACACCATGCTACCTGCCAGTACAACACGATCAGCCATTGCCACACACTACATTTGTTCATGAAGCAGTCATTAGTCGAGTGTTAAACCTACACTCAAAGTCTAAAAAGGAACCCATGATGTGACGATGCGTTGATTTGCCTTAGAACCGCCAGTTTTTCAGTATGGTAACTAAAAATGTCATCCAACCAACCAACTACCCAACCAACCTCAAAGTCTATAGGAACCTGTGATATGACGATGCGTTCAAGTGAGGGACTTGCTTTAGAACCGCCAGGGGGGCGGTTTGGTAACTCAAAATGTCAACCAACCAACCAACAAATCAACCAACCATGCAACCACCCACCCTAAAATTCTATGGGAACCCATGATTTGACGATGCCTTCAAATACAGGGATTTATTGATGTGCCTTTGAACCGCCAGGGTAGCAGTATAGTAACTCGGTGGCATGTTCATATTTGAATCCAAATCAGATCAAACTATGGTATGTTGCCGTCTGGGAACGTTGACATGCAATCTATTCCATTCTCTGACATCAGAAAGACAGACGTCAAAAACGTTAATTCCCTATTATATTCCCATCAAATAAATACTTCTTTGGAGACTACGTATATGAACAATCATCTTAACATTTGTATCAGAAGGGTATTTTTGATATATGCCTTTCATTTATGTTTGATCCTTCGCATAATCCCTTTGTCAGCAGATGGACATCAAATATAGTAACGGGAGGGAGTAACTGTGCTACATATAAAGTGGTGTAAATGTGATGTAATAGAAAATAACTACATACGAGTTGGTCATTAATCTGATCAACAAATTCATTGACAAAACCGATACCTGGTAACAGGAAACGGAGCAACGTGGCCTAAATGAGACGGTGGTGTAACAACTCAATTGACAATGTCAATATCGGGTGTGACCAACATTTGCGGTGATACAGGCGGGGCAGCGGAGGCGCATTGAAGACATCACACGATTAAAATCAGCCTGGGGGATGTCGTTTCAATGTCAACCAAAGATTGACCCAACTGAGCTTGTTTTACCATCTAGTTTGGGTGTTGTCGTAGGCGTCGTCCATCTTATCTGGTCATGGATCTACAGCAGTGTTACGCTGCCTCAAAAAGTCTGTAACAACATACGCAACGTGAGGGTGTATTATCCTGCTGCAACGTGACATTACGTCCCTGCGTTTCGACAAATTTGATCTCGAACGATGTAGCCACGGTAGCGTATGCCCCTCAATTATTAATTAATAACTATGAGTCCATCCCAAACCATAACACTTCCATTCCCAAACTGACATGGATGAGTTACACAAGCGCCACATAAACATTCTCCTGGACACCTTCAGACCCTTTCACGACCATCAAAGCTGTCCAGTTCAACCTGGTCTGTGAACAGTATACTCTCCCAGTCTTGTCTTCTTAACCCCAAGTACTGTCTACACTAAGCTAGGCGCGCGTGCCTGATCGTGATGATGACGTGGAAGCAAAATCGCTGGACTTAGGGGCCGATGTTTTGCTCCCTCAACCGTTTGTGTTCAGTTATGCCACTAATTGGTCTGAACCCAGGCATTGTCCAAACGGTTATTGGGGCAGTTTGGTATCGATTCTGTATATGCACCAACAGAATATTGTTGTCTTGTTGGTGGCAAGTCATGAGTATTGCCCTGCTGTAGAACGTCTCTAAAGACATGCTATTGTCTTTCGATGAAAATAAAACGTCTGACAACTTCGTTTTGCGCCATTCCTCTTTGCAGTATACCAGGATACATCAATTGTCAGTAAACCATGACACTGCCTCAGAGTTATTAATGGCCAAACAATTGTGAGCACCTTATAGCGAAACAATCAGTGTGTACTGTCCACATTCAAAATCTACGTGAATATCATGATTCCAACGAACACGCAAACATCCAAATTGTGTGCCGTGCATAAACATGCGCATTCTAATTGTGGATCTCGCCCTTAAGGTCGAGACTACTTCCGGTTGCGTGCGCCTCCAAGATGGCGGGAAGACGGGGAGGGAGGGAGGGAGGGAGGGAGGGAGAGAGAGAGGGAGAGAGAGAGGGAGCAGGGAGGGTGTGCAGGGTGTGCAGGGTGTGTGTCGATTGCGTCTGGAGATGATGGATCACTGAGACGAGCTTATACACAGTGGATGACCCAGCAACTTTGTTGCTAGGTTGACGTCACATCACCGAAGGATCTTGCAGCAAATTCCAGAAAAATGACATCATCGAGTTTTATGACGTGATTGTAAACTTTCAGGTGCAAGGTCTCGTTCAACAATGCGGTCATATTGTAGCACAATGACAGTCGTTCATCTAAGTTAAAGTATGTGGCAATCACCTTAGCGCTACGATCATGTTGTGGAACTTTAGGATGGGGAATCGACATGCAGACCTGAGGAGAAAAAACAAGATCGAAATCTGACCAATCAGACGCTTGGGTTGTCGACCAGCAGAGGGCGCGCTCAGCCTGTTCGGGCCTCTGATTGATCGAAACGGGGTTGTGCTTTCTCTCCCATGGTGCAAGCCTGACCCTATGGAAAACAAACACAAGGGGAAAACCAGGGCTCAGGCCAAGCGGCGGAACGGATCAATCAACGGACCCAGAGTACCCCATACCATTTGGAAGGATAAGACACGACTCGATCCAGATGTTTAAGAACCGCTTACCATACTTATCGTTTGACATTCAAACCAGACTACTTGGAAAGCGTACCACCGGACCCCGTTCCCATAGAGTTACCCCCTTTATTTGACATGGTGATCGAAGACTTCTATCAACAGATGTCAGGTCAGAAGGGAGATCGTATTGGTCTAGGTATCGAACACCCCGCTTTGGACACTGCCATACAGATTCCATTTCGTCGCTTTGAAGATCTCCGTGGCCTAGATATCGACGACCTAGCACGCATGGGACGTGCCTTGGCCCAAATCAACTATCAACTGAAAGTCTGCAGTCAAGAGGTGGACTGGAGACTGATGTACAAGTGTGATGAGACTCCACCCAACGCCACTGTGCTGCATTTATTCCATCATGATCACCACTATGATGTGATCACTTCCATGCCAGCCTTTTATGAGGCTAGCCATTACTGCGAACTCTGCGACCACCGTTATGAACATCCCGAAAAACATGCTTGCATCAAGCAATACCGCTGCCACCGCTACCTCCACTCTGGCTATTGTGGACCCCAGGAAGAACATGGGATCCCTTGCTTGACATGTCAACGATGGTTCCAAAATCAACACTGTTACACCCATCATCTCCAGTCATCGTCAGAGGGAAACCCAG